TGGCTGTTCTGTTTTGCAGGAGGTTTTCAGTGCAGAGATGTGCGAGGTGTCACCTGGGGATTTCTGCCTCCGAGATGGTCATGAGGGCCAGGGATTTGGTATATCACTTAAATTGCTTCACTTGCACCACTTGCAACAAGATGCTGACCACCGGCGATCACTTTGGCATGAAGGACAATCTGGTGTACTGCCGCCTCCATTTCGAGACTCTCATCCAGGGGGAGTACCAGGTGCATTTCAATCACTCGGATGTAGCCGCTGGGAAGGGCCCGGCATTGGGAGCGGGCTCTGCCAATACTTTGGGACTGCCTTATTACAACGGCGTGGGGACTGTCCAGAAGGGGAGACCCAGGAAAAGGAAGAGCCCAGGGCCTGGGGCAGATCTGGCAGCCTACAACGCAGGTAAGAGACCCCCGTCTTCCCCTAGGACAATTCAAATGGTTTGTTTCTGTTCACTTCCAAAGGGGGATTTCCGTTTATTTTAGCTTAAACCGTTAATAATAGTTTAGCTGCAGCATAATTATTGAGATCAAGTGCTGTCAAACTGCAATTACAGAAGCTAATATGTTAGCGTTTTTCACTTCAGCTGGAAATAAAATGTTTTGAAGCAAGGTCATCTGGTTAAGGAGGGGGGAGAAGGGGGAGTGTAGCCTGAAATAAAATCTGGAAACCAGAGATTGTAAGTTAGCACTTCAGAGAGCTGTGAATTTTCTTTAGTAGCTACGAACTCAAAGGCTGCTGATGGGTGAATTATTCTGCCCTTGTCCTGAGCTCTTGCACCTCAGAGTTTTGGAAGGGGAGAGGGAGAGAGAGAGGAGGAAAGTGGCTATTTCCCGAGGACCTGCGGTGCGAGGCGGATGGGGGGCGCGGGGCTGGGGGTGCAGGCAGCAGGTGTCTGCAGGCAGTCTCGGGTCTGCTCATACAATGACAAATTCGGCTGGAGTTCTGTTCGTCAGATGTGACTCAGAGAAGAGTCGGGAAACTCACAACATCCCCTTTCTAAACCCTCACTGCCCCAAGTCGCAGCCCCTGCCTCTTAACTGGGATCAGCAGCAGGAAGAAAGGGAGCAAACCTGGCAGCAGCCACGAACCCGCCGTCCCTGCAAAAACTCTGTCTCCCAGGCTCTCTGCAGCGAGCTGCAAACTTTCTGATGTGTTTCCTCGTTTAACCTCACCACCACCACAGCACTGTAATTTTGCAGGCAAAGGAATTCGAGCAGTCTCCTGCCACCCCCCCCCCCCGGGTTTCTCCCCTTCT